TGCATTGTGCATCACTTATTTTATATATTCTTTTATCATTATTTTTATTATTATTTTCCCTTCCTTTTCTGTCCTATTAAACTGTCTTTATCTCAACCCATGAATTTTACTCTTTTTTTTCCCAATTCTCTCCCCCCTCCTGCTGGGGGCAGGGAGGAGTGAGCTAATGGCTGTGTGGTGTTTAGCTGCCACCACAACAGTAGGTAAGTAACTTATGTTGACATGCAGTCCTTAAAGTATAACACAGCATTTTCCACTGGTAATAAACACATATAATACAGATCCCAATTAAAATATGTTCAAAACCATAAAATATCTACTTCATCATGAACCATATTTTTAATAGTTATTAAAAAAACACATCTTGAGGTAAGTATCTTGTACTGAAATGAACATGGCTGTGGTCTCCCACATGAGATCACAATCAAATACTCAATGAGTTTATTTGAATCTTAGACTCAAATACAAAAATACACAACAGCACACTTTCTTTATTTCAGGAACAATCCTCTGGCTTTTGCTATAATGCTCCATCATGATCTGAGTAGAATTGATATACTAATCTGGGAAAGGGCTGGAGTCATCACTTAAGGAATATTTTTAATACATGAATTAGTCCTTCAAATATTATTAATTTTTTAATATTGATAGATATTGGCTTGATCTCTTTTGGAACCAGAATATGAGGGCCATGAATCTAGTCTGAACAAATAGCATGACTTGATTGTTTTTTTCTGCTGTAAGTATAGTTAAACATTGGAACAGATTCTTTAGGAAGATTACGCAGTCTCCTTCCCTGAAATGTTTTACAAACAGGTAAAAAAGATCAGTAAAGAACAGTCTGAACATCACCGAATGTACCATATGTACCAATGATGGAGTCAATGCTTCTCAGTCATTTAAGATGAGCAGCGATCTGTAAGATCGCAGAAGGTATTCCATGTCACTATTGCAAAAATATAACTGTAAAATAAAGCCAGCCCCCCACGCTTCCACACACGCCTACAAACAAAACCACCCAATACACACATACACAAAAGCTCAAGGGGAAAGCTACAGACAAGCATTTAAAGTTTACTCTCATTTTCATCAGGTTGCAAAATGGAAACCATGAGGCAATAATCAACAAATAGTAAGGCTGATTTTGGTTTTTTTTGGAAAGGCTGGATGGTTCTTTGACTTAAGAAAAGTTCAGACACACTTGGCTGGGTGACTCTGAAGGCCCTTTTCCTTCTGGGCCTATCTGCTATGAATTTCTGATTGTACTTTTTAGGCACACTTTGTTAGGAAGGGCATGAAGCGATAGACTATCATCCAGGAAGCACTGAAGGACCAGCTCTTGGTATCATATCTGTAAAAGTAAGCATGAATTCAACATTTATGCCCCTTAAATTCTTATTTTCTCCTTTAAGCAATAACCAGCAATAACCTTGACAGTACCCACTCAGTGCTATTCACCTAGAAATAGACCAAATTGCCAACACCTTTTTCATTATCCACTTTTTAAAAATATTCCTGAATGTATGAAGTATAAATGCTAAAATAAAATGCAATATAAAAATACAATGCAATATCTGATTATTCATAGTTTCCAATATGTTGTATACACCATGTCCTTGATATCAGCCAGTTCAGTGGTGACAGATTACAGTTTTCCCCTTCTGTCAAGAAAATGCATAGAAATTGTTCTGTTCAATGAGACATCCCAGATAAAACAGAGACCCATTTCTTTGAGATTTGTGTGTTTGATTTACCTTCATTGTCCCTTAGAGTAAAGTTGGGATTCAAAGAGAGCCGTTCATCAAGGGAAAAATGGAATCTTGCCCCATTTGCAGAGTAATCTTTGTCAGTTGCAGTGATAGTCTGAATTACCTGAAATAAAAATTAACAGTGAATGTGTTGAAATTTGAACTTGACCCAAATAGTACTTGACCTCAGCAGGATGCTCAAACTTAGCTTACTTTAATTTTCTACTTGACTGCTACTAAATTCAACCGATGAAATGACTGGGCCATTAGTTTGATTTCTCTAGCATGAAATATTTTAGGAACCAGACTTCAGAGCTAGATAAAAGCATCTAAAGCATCTATACTTTCTGACATTCTGATACGGTCAGGACCTGGTACAGAGGTTTTCACCATCTGCATTGCATCCTGGTGACTTCCAGAAGTACAATTTCACCTAAACATCTGTTTTTATGGAGCCAAAATTCAGGCTGAACCAGGATGGTCTATGCGGAGCATCATCTGCCTGCCATCCCAATAATTAGATGCACTCCAGTATTGGTTAGGAAAAATAATTCAACAATTAACCAAAATGGCAAGTATATAATACCAGGTCTTTGTTTAAAATTCCTGTTAAGAATCAGTTTTAAATTGCTGGAGAACAGAAGAGGAAGAACAGCAGCTACTCCTGGTTTTAGTTTGATTTGCCCAAAAGGAACAGAATTAGATGTAGCAACCATGTATGGGAGAGGTATTTTTGAAAGGTAGGACCTTTGCCTTCGAAAGCCCTGGTGGTTTTTAAAATTTACTTTCACCTAAAACTGAGCTAAGTTTTTGGAATGTGTGACCAGCTTTCATTTTCATGCTGGGCCTAGAAGCTCAAGTGCTAAAGTAAAATTTAATAAAAGTTGTTCTTGTGATATAGGCAGTGAAGCCTACGCAGACTGCTGCACAGCGCTGATAGATATCCTGAGGGAAATGTAAAGGGGGAGGGAAAGTCCTCTTTTCAGGAGAATTTTTCTGTTCAGTGTTCAGCTGTAGTCTGTCTGGACTGAACCTGAAGCATAAACAGTGTGGGCTCAAGTGGTTTGGCCTGTTTTAAAACTAAAAGACAATATACAGTTCTCTACCTCCATTCACATAAAAGAAGCAAAACACATTTTAAAGCCAATAGAGTACAATGCTTATTCCATTGACTGTATACAATATAGTACATTATATTGACTACACACACCTGAGACAAGTAACAATACTGATGATAATTGCTGAGAATGTTTTAAAAGTTTGTCGTAATACTTTTTTGCTGAACTGTAGCAGAATAAGATCAATCTGAAATGTCTATAATCATGCAGTTTACCAAAGTCATGGCAATATTGGTGAAAAAGTTTGACAAAAGCTAATTGTTCTCTGAATTTCGCAAAGGTGGCATATCTGTTATTGAAACAGCTATCATGTAAAAACAGAAATACAAGATTACCTTAGATAGATATATTGAATTAATAATGTTGAAATGGTATGAGGCAAAGCAAGACAAAAAAAAGGTTGATGGAAGAGTATTTTCAAGAGAATCAGTTTCTGTTATTACTCAAATACTAAAAGTACTGTTAAATACCATACATAGCTGTAAAAAATTCAGATAAAAAGATATGAATTTATTAAATATTGTTTAAGCATCCTCAGTGCTGTTTATCAGTGAAATATAAGTTGTTTTGCCATGCACCTTTAGCTTTTATTTGACAGCCTAGTAGATAAACTTTCACCCTGTTGACCTCCTTACATAAAACGTTCAGTGACATTTTACGGAATCTTGCTTCAGGAACATGCCATTTTGCAAAAAAAAATACCTTTGATCAAGACCTCAGTGCCACAAGACTAGTATAAAATTTATTTGTCTTTAAGACTAGTTTTAAAACTCAACAAAATATACTCTCTACATTCCCTGATTTCACACATGGAAATTCAAGTATGCCCTGAATTCACCAATGTATATAAAAAGTATAGCACCAGATGGTATTGAAATCATGCTTTTCCACGGGGAAAATAGATATTGTATGTGTAATAGGACAGGTCAAAATATTTTTGACAGAACTGTTTTTAAATAGAAAGTTCACACTCTTTCAGAAAAGGCTCTTGCTTTCTAAGGAAAAGATTTCTAAGACATTTATTCAGAGGTGAGGAACAAAAGTGTGTGTCCTCTTGACACCCAAATGTACTGTTAACCCTTTTCTAATTAATAGGCCAACTAATTAATGGCCTATTAGCAGATATTAACATGCATCTTACCAAAGCCGATTAAAATAAAAATGTAGACACAGAACCTCAGCTGCTGTAAAGCTCACTTGACAGCACTGAAGCGATGAAACTGAAGCGTTATGCTATTTTTTTAAAGGCAAGAGTTGGTGAGAAAAGAAAGAATTTCAAGAACGGAGGAGAACTAATTGAAGAGGATAGAGAGCAGGTGCTAAATTCTACTCAGATCCTTTTCAGAACTGAATCAATAAACAAGTAAATATACACAAGATAAACATAGCTGAGGTGTTCCTTGCCAGCTAACATTGATTTCCTTTGGCTATTAGAAATAACAGCATCCAGGGTGAGGTAGCTCATGTTGGCAGCACAATATTTATACACCCTGATTCTGAAAAAGCTCTCTGTGTGTGTGTGTGTACATGCGCACGCCTGTGCGTTAATTTACAGTGATGGATCGTGTCAGGGAAATGACATTTACTACTAGCACAACTTTTTCTATTATTCTTCTGGAAAGCATCCAGAAAAAATGTAATCTTTGGAGAGCTACAGCGAATATGACTAGCAGATCTAGTCAGATATTTTAACAGGTCCCTACTCTGTCAGGACAAACATTGAACTTGGAAACGTTCAGAAAACTGTCAACGCTTCACTCCTTCATTTTCCATAACAAAGAATTTAAGCTTTTTTTTTTACATCACTATTTGCTCCCATTGTCTTAAAAATAATAAAACAAGTCACATTTGAAGCAAAGGAAAATTTAATTTGTAAGTTGACTTTGTGGAAGATTGCAAAATTTCATTTTCCTTTATTGGCTAAATTTCACAATCATTTACAAAATCACTATATTTCTAGAAGTCAGAGTTCTCCAAGCCTGGACACCATCTAAGATCAAATCACAGCTGCTTTATCAACTTTAATATATAATATCTACCAGGCTTGACCTGGAAGCTGTTGGAGATACTTAGTTTATCTTCTCAACAAGGTGACTGCTAAGGAAGTAAAGCTGTCACTTCAGTGTGGAAATGATCGTCTTCTCACAAGCATTTTCTGTTTGAGATGCCTTAGGGGGGTTCATTTAAGCACTTAAGTCCTTAAGTTTCATTGGCTTTTTTTTTTTTTAATGAGTAAACAAATTGAGCTGTGGAGGGAAAAAGAAGCAGGAGACAGGCTGTGCAATTAAATGATACTGCGATTTCTCTCCATAGAAGCCTCTTCTGAAAATAAACAAGCAAACACAAAAAGTCTTCCAATGACAAACTATTGGTTAGTTTATCTTGTACATAATAAATTCAGACTAGATGTGCTGAGGAAAGAAATAAGGACTCTTACAAAGCAGTACAGGGCTGGAGCCCAACCTCAAAGCACTAGTCAAGCAGAAGTGCCCAGCAGTACCTGACAGAATTTGTTCTTTAGAGATTATGAATCATTCTCACAAGATGATGGATAACTCAGAGTAAATACTGTCTTTTCAATTATTCAAAACCATCCAGCTGGGCACACTTTTTAGCATATGCAACAGTTGTCTTGTTCTGTAATCCTTGGTTTTTTGTCCCTCCTTAATATTTGTTGAACACTGTCATTTTCTTTCTTAAACTAGACAGTAAGATCTTATGAGTGAAAGCCATGGTTTTTTGTGTTTTGTTTTGGTTTTGTTTTTTGCACAGTGCAATAGTATCACAATCTTTTCTGAAGCCTTGTGCAATGCAAATAAAAATTAGTGCGTGTCACGTATGTAATGGAGTCCTGTTAGCTTAAGAATACAACAGCATGCTGATCCAGCCTTTCGTATTAAACTACTGCTTGTAGAGTCCTTCATGGTAGCATTAATCTCGGGTGTTAAACTGCAATGCTACAGAGGTCAGGAGTCATTCATGCTCGCAACAGTAGCTCAGAGAGAAATACAGCAATGACCTAAATCAGGAGCAAATGCTGTTACAGTAAAACTTATTTTATCCTTTGAACATCTCTCTCATAAATTTCCATTTGCAAAGCTACTATTGGAAAGTTACAACTTTGCTAATAAGAAACATTAGCTACTCACCACTAACACCACCCCCCCCCAGCTCAGAGCACTTTTGAGCTAGCTTCACTGCATGGTTTAGCTTAATATTAATTATAACAATTATTTAACAATAATTGTTAAATTGTATAATTTAAAAAAATCAGAATGTTGAAAGCAATTGCAGTTAATGCTTAAGAGATTTTATCTTCTTTTTTTTAAATTAGTCTTTTAAAAGTTCTAATTCTTCTATATTTGGCTTTATTTGAGGTTTTCAGAACATTATTTTTACTTTAATAAGCATGGTAATAAGAGATATTCTGTTGATAGACAGACCTACTTAAGATTTTCAAAGGCTTTGAGTGAGTTGTCTCAATTCTCAATCATATTCAGTTGATAGACAGACCTACTTAGATTTTCAAAGGCTTTGAGTGAGTTGTCTCAATAAGAGCACTGAAGAAAACTATGCAGTCATGAGATAAGAGGGAAGGTCCTTGCACAAATAATCGCTCAAAAGACAGGAAATCGGGTCTCTTCTGTAAATTGTCTATTCCACAAGGAAAGGAAGTCACAGAGATTTCCTGTTCCACACAGATTTATGCTGGGCCACTTGTTGGTCAGTGTAGTAATAAACATCTTATAAAGAGTATGAATAATCAGCCCACGAAATCTACTTATGATACTGAGCTGTTCAAGGAAGAAAAGAGGAAGGGCTGACACTAAAGACCTTGCAATACTCAGCAGCCAGGCAATACAAAGACAGGTGAAATTCATTATACATAGACATAAAGTCTTAACTTCGCATACATGATGATGACCTCTGAGCTGACCATTACTTCTAATGATATTGGTGTTATGGCAGGCAGTTTTTTGCATTCAATGCTTGCTAGTGGTTAAAAAGCAAAGCCACTGTCAGAAATTGCTAGGAAAGGAATAGAGAACAAAGCAGAGATCATCATACACTGTGAAGCATAAACTATGATAAGAATTATAAACTACTGCATACATGCATCTTGAATCTTGATTCCCCATCTCAAGGTGAATAGAGAGGAATTGAAGAAAGTTTAGAGGAGGACAAGATGAATGATCAAAAGTCTAGAAGGGCTTTATCACGGCTTGTCCATGTTAAGTAGGACTCCAGTCCGGACAAGAGACGGCTGAGGGGCAATGTGCTAGAGATTTATGAATGGCACAGAGATAATAAATAGGGATCAACTGCGCTCTCTCTCTCTCTCTCTCTCCCCCAACACAAGAACTGGTAAATATCGACTGAAGACAGCATGGGAAGATTAAAAAAAAAAAAAAGAAAAAAAGAAGGTGGTAGGTCTTCCTGAAACATGCAATTAAACTGTAAAATTCCTTGCTGCATGAGGTAGCAGATATCAAAAGTTTGTTTGTTGTAGGAAAAGCTAGACAGATTCATATGATAAGGTTATTAAAGGATTATTAAAAACACAGAAACCACACTTGGATCAGGAAATGATCTGCAACTGATCTGAGACCAGGTAAGTACTTGGGGTAAGTATCATACACGCTTGCGATGTTCTCATACTGCTCTTTAGGTATCAGACTTTGGTCACTGTTAGAGTCAAGATAACTTTTATCAGCCTATAGTCTGATGAAGTACAGCATTTTTATGGTCTCAATGTTAAAAACAGCAATATGCCACTATGCATTTATGTACACTGCTTTTAAAGATTTGATGAGAAAACTGTTATTACTAGTAATATATTCCTCAGGAAAGATATTGGCTCCCAATTGCAACTTACAACCTGTGTCATAATGCAAAACCAGCATAGAGTGCTGGATAAAAGCTCAATCTATGCAAAAAAGCAAAGGCACTTAGGAAAATTGTCAAACCATGCACTGCAATGAAGTGCATCGATCACAGGAGCAGTGGCTGGAACGTGATTCTGCTATTCAGTCTCAGTTCTGATCCTCCCCATGCTCACAGTTGTGAAAAACCCATTCAATGTTTTTTCCATAATGACCCTGCACAGACAAGGGCAATAATCAACATGCAAAAAGTGAGGATGGGAGTCATGTTAACCAGCCATTTCACTGAGCTGTATGTAAAACCTTGCTACTATGTGGCACTTAGATGATAAATCTGCTTCATCCATTTTGTTCAGGATAGTGACTTGTCAAATTCCATCACTTATCTGACAAGACTAAAGTTTGCCTGTCTTTACTGAAGATAGTTTGGGTATTTTTTTGCATCAACAAGAAAGATATATTAAACAAATTCCCAGATCTTCTCCTTTCAGCCTAATACAGTTAAAAAGTTGAATCAAATGTGAAATACGAAAATGATATCAGAAGGAATTACGACGTGTTCCCCAAATCAAACTTCTTACCTATGTGGCATTAACAAATAAAGTAATTCTTCTTTCTCACTGGGAGAAAGATAACTGTGAGAGTTAGTTACCTGACCAGGCTTTGCATTCTCACAGACAACTACATCATACTCTCTGGCGAGCTCTGGAGGGTTGTCATTGACATCCAGGATTCTAACACCAACTGGAACGTGGCTCACTAGCCCAGGATTGTCTGCAAAATACACAAGGGGATATTAAGCCTTTTGAAATAGTCAGTATTCCCCGACATCCTCAATTTAAACATGGTTTCTTAACACAGTAACTGGATGAGAACTAGGTAGAGCTGCAGAAATTTAGGTAGCAAGATACAAAAAGATGTTGTTTGCTGTGCTTCATTACATGTTTTGAAAAATAATTAAAAAAAAAGCATGGAAAGTATAGTACGAGTCTTAAGTCACTGTTATATCATCAATAAAAAGTCAAATTACTCTAGAACTGAAGCGGGAGAAAGCTGTTGGAGTTATCGCATACTGTCACACTATGCTAAGAAATGATCAATTGCTTTGTAATGAATGTGAAAGTGTCATCACAGTATTGAATAAAATCTAAAAAGAAAAATATTAAAAACTTTTTCTTTTTTTCAGTCCCTTAAAGAGTTTAGGAAATAAAATACCAAAATAATAAGAAAATATGAATGAATAGGCACATATAAACCTTTCCCAAGCTTGAGTTCAGCTTCCTCATAAGTTATCATGCTATTACACAAAGTAGTTAATGAGTCTTGCTTTAGCAGTGACATACCAGTAACAAAACAATGTTTATATAATGGTGTCTTACCCTGTGATCTGTACTTCCATGAGAGCTCACTTTCAAAAAGAGCTCACCCTCAAAAAGCTCAATAAATAGAATCCTTTCAATAAGAATACATTTTCCATGATAAAATGGGAAAAAAAATATTTTCTTTAATCCATAATTCCCATTTTTACTATGAAATACCAAGAAAATTTTACTTTGTTGAATTATATATTAAAACTTTTTATAATTAGCTAAAATACACCTTCTGAAGTCTGTATAGTTATCAATTGGTTAGATGACAAACTTAATTTTACTTTCACCAATTAAATGAAACTATCAGTAGAAGACAGCAAAGTCAATCTTTCAAATGCAACAAGGTGGAAGAATGGGGTCTTACAGATTGACATTTTAAAAGTGTATGTCCCTATGTGTGCTCATGAGAAGAAAAGGAAAAAAAGAGAAACATTAGTAGTCTAAACCTCATTTGCCTTGGTTATTTTGATCTTAGTTAATCCACATCATGTTTCTGCCTCGTGGTCTACCCCCAGTCAGCAACTAAGCACTACACAGCTGCTTGCTCACCCTCCGCCCCCGGTGGGATGGGGCAGAGAATTGGAAGAGCAAAAGTAAGAAAACTCGTGGGTTGTGATAAGAACAGTTTAATACTTGAAATAATATTAATAATAATAATAATAATAATGATTGTAATGGAAAGTAAAACAATAAGAGAGAAATAAACAAAAAGCCAGGGAAAGGGAAAAAAACAAAAAAATTATGCAACCCCTCACCACCACCGACCGATGCCCAGCCAGTCCCCGAGCAGCAATTGCTGCCCCCCAGCCAACTCCCCCCATCTTATATACTGAGCATGATGTCATATGGTATGGAACATCCCTTGGGCCAGTTTGGGTCAGCTGTCCTGGCTGTGCCCCCTCCCAGCTGCTGGCTGGCAGGGCATGAGAAGCTGAAAAGTCCTTGACTAGTGTAAGCACTGCTTAGCAACAACTAAAACATTGGTGTGTTATCAACATTATTCTCCTCCTAAATCCAAAACCCAGCACTGTACCAGCTACTAGGAAGGAAATTAACTCTATCCCAGCTGAAACCAGGAAATTCTGTCAAAAAGGGTCATTTGTAAAATGCCTTAGATTTGTAATACCTTTAATGGTCTCTGCCTAGAATTCTGAAAAACATTGATTAGGCACGTATTTGGATTCAAAGCCACCAGTATGAAGTGAAGGTGAGGAAGAATGACACTTGACTGTTCACTAAGCAGTCGGGAGAAAGGAACCATTCATCTACCCTTACTCTTATTACTGAAGGAAGCAATCTTCTCTCCAGGAGACCCTTTGCGTTATGAGTATCAATACAAAAAGATGTTTGATCCTTCCCTAGAGGTAGGTCATGAGATTGTGCTGAACAGCACAAGCAGTAGAGATTGAATATTTCTTATTGCTCACTGAAATACAGCTTGCAAACTCATTTAGGCAACTTCCTCTGTCAACGTCATCAGACAATCCAACTACAAAAATCATGTAAATACAATTACAGAACATGATACCTAGCAATAAATAGTCTAGAGATGATCTACGACTCAAAGGAGCTTTGTTCTTGAGGCTTTGCTCAGGAGGCTCTCGCACATAGTTTGTGAGGTATGTGAACTAGAAAGTAGTATAAATTAAAGGAAGGACACAAAGCAGATAAAGAGAGAGCACACAAAAGCATAGAAAGGAGATGGAAGGCAGAGATCACAGTAAAGGGTTAAGGATGAATAAATCCATTTGGGAGTGGATTCATTAACTATAGTGAAGGAATTGAAGATTTTAATACTAGAGAGATCCCAAAGAAGCTTTTGCCAGAAGGCAAAAAACAGTTGTGATTATCAGATAATCATAGGATCACTGAAAAATCTTAGTTGAAAGGAACTTCTCAAGGTCAGTGGTCCAGTCTCCAGCTCAAAGCAGGGCCATCTTCAAAGTTATAAGGGGGCATAATACATCTAAGAGGAAGGGAGCAAAAAAGCAGGAAGAGCACAGGCCAGAGGGTACCAGAGCTACAGAACTGTTCTGTAGGTCTGGCATGTTTGGAATCGTTACTCAGGAAAGAAAAATCAAACTTTTCAGTCCAATGTATAGCAAAAAAATGGTAAACCCTTTTGTTTCAGTACAGTGTATCAGACCTCTCTGTCCCATCTTGTATGTCTGCCACTTGTATGCCTGCCACTACTACCCAGTGTGGTCTTACTCTAGTCTGTTAAATTTGCATTATTTTCACAGAGTTTTCATGGAGATTCAGAGAGTTTAGCTTTATTTGTTCTGCAGCTGCTTTGCAGTACAAAGAATTCATAAATATCTTACCAGTTCTCAAGAGTTCTTAATGCACAAGGTATTATTAGTATCTTTCTGGAAGCAGTTACCTCATGGAATTGTTGACATTTGCAGGCAAATTTCCATATTGACAGCCTACTCACTACAAAATGCTAATAGGGAAAGTAATAACACCACTTACCAAAACAGGCTTGAAGTTTGTCAGATTGTGTACACTACATAGATGTGCATGCAAGATGATAGCACAGTTTATAATGGGGGGAGAGAATGAGAATGAATTAAGAGGGACCTTACAATTTTTTTTTTTTTTTAGATTTGTTTTTGTTGCTTTATTATAAAATAAATATAAACTCCAATGTTTTTCAGGTGTACAACTCACCTGCAATCTCCAAACCACTCTAATAGCTGGTCCTTTTGTTAGTACATTTTTGTTAATTAGACAAATTTCTTGCAGCAGTTTGGCAGATTTCTAGTTTTAAGATAATCAGTGCTGACATATATTTCAGTCCTGCACATTATAAAACAGCCAGATCCATTCTGTGTCCTATTAGCATTATGCCTCAAGAGTAGATTTTTCAAAGTGAATGCTCACTGTTTTAAGGAATAACTGAAGCAGAAACATTGCTCTGATTCACCTACATTAAAGACTTGCTTTCTTATGCTTGAGACTTTTCCCAGAATAAACAGTTCTTCTGCCAGAACACTAAATACCTGTAAAGTGAATCAATTTCATTGAGTATCAGCCCCTCCACCAGCAAGTCCTCTGCGAACTTACAGAAGTCCCTATCAACAGCCAGTCTGAAGTCTTGAATCTTCCATCAATTCCTGTGGGCAAACTTTAAAACCCCTGTATAAGAAGAAAGCTTTTTAATACAGCTACTGCTGTCTGAGACTTCCTTTTCATAGTAACAAAATTCCCATGGGCTTTATGAAAATAAATTCTACCTGAATGACATTCAGAATACCAGTACTGACATCAACAGTCTTGTGAAAAAATATAGTTAAATTATTCTTATGAAAGCTGAGTGAATAATTTAACCCAAAGACAGCCTGAACTATTTTAAAAGGGTGAAGGATTTTACAAAAAAAATTGATAAATTTTATATGTTTTCATGATCTAGAACAAAAATCTTCACCTAGCTTAAGATTAGAATGATTGCCTATGCTTTTGCATCATCAATATTGAATATTGATCTTAAACAGTACAATAACAACTTTTTTTCTCATTTTGACACCTTTTCAAGACCTTATGAGGCAAGACAATACTTAGGAAGTTCAACTATCTATTCCGGTACTTTTTTAAAGAGAAGTAGAAAGCACTCATCACACTTCTTAATAATTATTAGTTTTGACACATTAGAAGACTAGACGTAGATCTAGGAAGGATAAAATATACTACAGAAACAGAACTAAAATGATGAAAGAATATCTAATATGTAAGTGAGAGCGGTAATATTCAGAAAACAGTGGGTTTGATTCAGGATGGTGTATATGTGACTAAATTTTCTGGCAAGGAGAAAATTATGCAGAATCTACTAAGTGTAATGTTCTGTTCTGGTAGTGGGAACTTTTAAATATTGTTACCATTGTTAACCAACATGAAGTAGGTTAGAAATTTTTTTTTTTCTTGTAGCACAATTTGACTTTTCACTGATGAACCTGAAGGCACTGATCACTTCTCTTGGATCATGCTAGTAGCGGTAGCAGTAGTAGCAACAGGAGCAATAGTAGGAATAATAGCACTGCAGCAGACTTAAAGCATTTAGCGCTCTCAAGCTGGCAACTCCCTCTGCCTTAATGAAAACAGAATTCTGCAGCTCATAGACAACGCTGGTGCTCACCTCCTGAGTAGATCAGGGCACCACAAAATACACTGGTTCTGTGGCCAGAAATGTGCGTTTTGAGATTCTGGTACTGATTCACAAAGCCCTGGACAGGGAAATGTCACGTGATCCCAAAGACTGTCTCTTCTTTGGGGACCTAGCTTGGTAGCCAGGAAGAGCCATACTCTACACCCTCTTCAGAAGACAACGTAGGAATATCTTCATCATACCTTTCCCCAAAGAAACAGAGGAGAAGAAAATCCATCATGCCTAGAAGCCAATGACTA